AGACTGTGTCTGGAGAGCACAGGTCTAGCAGAGTTTGTCCCCAGCTTCTGATCTGGGGCCTTCTCTTCTGTTTCTGTTTGCTCTAGCTAGCCTTTGTCTGGTAACTCTGCCACCAGAGACCCTCACAGTGGGCTTGCATTGTTCTCCTTGGGACTTGCCTTGTCCTACTTCCCTTGGCCAGGCCCTTCAGACTCAGAAGGTCCAAGCCCCAAGAAGCAATCCACAGGGGAAATTCTGCTTCCCACTGCCTGCCCCCGTCTCCCCAGGACCCCAGCCAGGTGGTTCTGCCACCCATACAGCTGACACAAGTGCAGGCCCCAGAATCAGGGGACATGGCCTCAGGTCTTTGTATAACCAGGGTGACGTTGGGCTTGCCCTTAACCTCTCTGAGCCTCTCTTTTCCTACTTCTAAAATGAGGATCACACCTTTCTCATAAAGTTGCAGCAAGGCAGAGCAATGATAAAGGAAAAGTTCTTCGAAAATGTATAGCAGGTCTATCTTACCTTCCCATCCAAGCTGAGCCTCTAAAGGCCATGGACAGAAACCATTGCCTTTCCTAACCTGTTGCCTTTGAGTTTCAGCCTGCTCTGCTGAGGAGGTTCTGAGACATCCTCAAGAAGCTCCTCCCCCCAGCCCCAGGGAGCAGAAATACCTACTTTCAGCCCTAATAATACCTGAATGAGATTTCTAGGACACTTTCCTCCCCAGAGGGCTGAGCTCCTTCTCATATATTATTTCTCTTATCTCTAGATTGTCCTGCGAAGTGTGATGGGACAGCCTCTTTTCAGCTTCTCTGAAAATGGAGACAGAGGAGCTGTAAGTCTTGCTTGCCAAGGTCATAGGATTGGAATCCAGAGCCATGCCCCTCGCTCCAGGACACGCACCATCATCAGAGGCGGAAGAGCCAAGCAGAAAGGGAAGATGCAGTCACTGCTGTCTTGAAGCTGCAGCCGTCAGGGGCCAGGATGGAGGAGGAGGACTGGGGCAGAAAGCACAGTGTGGGTTCTGCTCCCACTCCTGCCCTTCTGGGACTTGGCTGGGGGCCTGGGGAAACGTGCCCCTATCCCCCACCCATCCTGCAGAGGTCTTGGCCTTTGACCTGTGGGCCACCGTTTCTGCCCTCGTCACATTGTATGCCTATTCCAGTGCAGGGTGTTCCAGCAAACAGAAGCTCCACCCCGCATCTCCGCCCCCGAGGACCGAGGGCGGCATGCCAGGTGGTTGCCCACGCAAGGGGCTCCAGCCTTCTAGGAGTTAATGATGCCCTCTCCCCAGCTGTCCTCCCCTTGGTGCTCCTCTTCCTCCCTCCTCCTGCTCACAGCAGGCAGGGCCTGGACCTGGGAGCCATGCCGCTGTGCTGTTGCCAGGGGAGCCGGGAGCCAGATCCGAGCTATGCAGGGAAAAGGCCCGGCCTGTCAAAGTGTCTGAGATGAACCGCCGCCGTCCCCGTGCAGCTGGGCTCAGACGTGTCTCTGCTCTTGTTCTGTGCCTGAGAATGGCGAAGCCCAGTGAGGTTCAAGGGCAAACTCACTATTCATTAGTCAGGGGTTCTTGACGTCCCTGTCTCCCAGGGATGGGTCCCCCCTCCCTTTTCCTCTCCCTCCTGTGACACATTCCTGGGTGCCTTTGGTGAGGGCTGCACACCCTCCTCCTCCTGCCCAACTCCTCTCCAAAGGCCCCTGAATAAACTCCCCACAAGGAGACCAGGCAGGGCAGAGACAATGGCCACAGGAAACCATTCAGGCGGGACTCCAGCCATGCTGGCCCGTCCTCCACTCCCAGCGCCCCTGTGGGCCCCGCTCCCCTTCTGACTCGGCACCCCTGGACTACTAGACCATACAGGCCTAGACAAGACAAAGGCACTGGGCACTGCCCTCGGGGCAACAGGCCAGTCCAGCGCCATTCTCAGTGGGCATGTTAGATGCTTCCATGACCCGTATCTTACATTGCTGCCTCTTGATGCCTTTCTCCACCATCACATATCTCTTCTAAGACACTCAAACACCATTGGTGGGAAAGTATGAAATGTGGCAATACCAGAATGTAAAGGACACATGTACTTAGTTACAAGCAAATTGCACTGCTAGAAATTTACTATACGGTTAACATGTAGACGTTCCCAAAGAATGTACAAGAATGTTCATCTGAGCATTTGTTTTTTAAGAATGTAAAGAAATGGAAATGAACCTGTGGTCCATTCATACTGTGTGAAATACGACGCAACTGCAAAAATGAATGTGGTAGGTCTCTAAATATTAGCTGATATGGAAGGCTGGCCAGTATATATTGTTGGGAGAATAGAATAAATTACAGAACAGGCAATAGAACATGATCTTATTTGTGTGTATTTAAAAGTCAAAAATATGCTTATATGTGAAGCGATTCTGGGTGTGTGTATTAGAAGACTACCTCTGGGGGGTGAGAAGGAATGAACGCAGTCTTCCATTTTCGTTCCATGCTTGTGGGATACTTTCACGGAGAAATGTAAAGAGGCTGTAGAATATATCAGGCTTAACCTCTGTTAACCAAGTTGGAGTAGGAGCTCCAAGGGAATTTTGCCATTGGCCTGCCTTGTTTGCTTCACCCCAGAGAAAGCAAGTGGCCCAGCAGGTGTCTCTGAGGGGTGACCCAAGGTCTCAGGAGTGGGAGGTGTGGGTCTGACTCCACATACGGCAGGCCAGGACCTGGCCACAGCGGCTGGAGGAGCTCTCCATTGGGCCCTGATGGGCCTGGGTGGGCCCTAGGTGGGGTGGAGGGGCAAGGTGCCATAGATCTGGACCAGGTAGCCACCCAGAAGACCCTGGGAAATCCGCAGGGTTGCAGAGTAGTCCCTGGGACCTGGGCGACACCTACAGTCAACCCAAATTAGCTGTGGAGCTTTCAGAGTGAGCAGGAAAGAAGAATTTAAAATGGACCACAGGCAGAGGACTGCAGTGACTCCTCATAACTTTATAGACTGTCGGTATTATTGTTACCCACCCATTATATAGATGAGGACACTGAGGCCCAGCAAAATTAAGTTTTAGGTCCCAAGTCACACAGCTAGTTAGTGCCAGAACTAAGATTCAGACTCAAGTCTCTCAGGCTGTGAAGTCTTACTCCAGACAGAAAAGAAATCCTGTTTGGCATGGCCCAAACTAGGAGGTCCCCAAAGCTGGAACCCCTCCTTTCCACCTCCCATTCATAGAGATATTAACCCCTCCTCTGCAAGGTCACCTCCTCAAATAGTTGCTTGCCTGGGGCCCTCCCCCAATTTTACCTAATGCCATGTAGCTCCTGCAGTATGCCTGGCCCTGGACTGGGCAGTGGAGGGGTGGGGAGGAGGATTATAGAGACTTTGGTTAATATAGCCTCTCCTCCAGAGCTGTCCAGGGCCAGAAGTGTTGTCCAGATGGACTTCCTGGGGGCAGTAGCCTGGAGGCAAAGATACAGCCCAGCTGGTTAAGACAAGCCTGAATGAGTGTTGGAAAGTGGGGGCAAGGTACTGGGGAAGGCTCAGGGCTTCCACCTGGTGGAAAATGGGAAGTAGGAGTGGGTGGGATAAGAGGGTCTAACTGCTGCAGCCCCCCAGTCCCCTGGCTGCAGGTCACCTACACTTCTGCAGACTCTGCTTCTCCCCTGACCTGATAGAAGCCTGATGGGAACTCCTGGGCCTGCCCCCATGCTTCCCAGAATCTGGCCTGATTAGGTCCTCAAGGAAAGCTGAAGCTGCAAAAGCAGCAGTCGGTAAGCAGAGATCTCACTCAGGGATCTGGAATCACTGGGGCTCTTGCAAGGCCAGGGGGTCCCCCTGCATGGTCCTAAGGGAGGACTCAGGCAAGTTCTGCAAGAAAAGCCTCATCTCATCCTGTAAACCTCACCTCTGTCTTCCCCATGGGCTTCCCTGGTGGCTCAGATAGTAAAGAGTCTGCCTGCAATGCGGGAGACTCGGGTTTGATCCCTGGGTTGGGAAGATCCCCTAGAGAAGGGAATGGCTTCCCACTCCAGTATTCTTGCCTGGAGAACTCCGTGGACAGAGGAGCCTGGCAGGCTACAGTCCATGGGATTGCACAGTCGGACACAACTGAGTGACTAACACACACCCCCACACACTCTTCCCAACTCACAACAAATAAAGTTTCTTTGCAAAGCCTTCCATGTGTCTGGTCAGTTCTGTGGGAAGGATGTGGGTGAGGAAAGTAAGATTTAGCCACTAGCAAAGACAATTCTTGCTGTGCCAGGTGTGGTGGGTCCCTGCTATGGATCCAAGAAACCCTCCCAAGGTCTGGGAAAGTGTCTCCCTGACCTGGGCTAGGGTCATCTGGCTAAGAGGATGAAGGCCATTGGCTACCCTGCCCAAGGCTTACCTCTAGCCTTGAGGGTGGCAATCTTAGGTGTACTACCCTCAGAAGTAGGGTTCTGTAGGTTCTGAATTTTGAAGCAGCTCCCAAACCTCTATCAGTGTCTTCATTTAATCCTCAGAGTGACAAACACACCCTCCTCCATAAGACTTAATCCCATTTTACAGAGTAGCTAACGGAGGCTTCAGAGATGCTAAGAAATATGCACACGCAGCTGGGAAGTGATGGAGCCAGGCTCCAGCTCTCATTTCTGTGACCAGAATGGGATGCTAGGCTTTGTAAATCTCCGGAAAGACCCTGACAAGGTTCTCTATGAATGTGCAATATCACAGCATCCCTTTTCACAAGGCCCTGGGACCCCAGACAATTATCAAGACTTTCTTGTGCCAGGCACTGTTCTAAGTGCTTACTCATGTCCTAAATCATGGTTTAATCCTCAGACATCCCTATACAAAACGGACACTGTATTAATTCCTGTTTAACCAACGGGGAGAGAGAGGCTGAGGTAGCTGGTGGGTGCAGGGATGGGTGCAGCCAGGATGTCGGCACAGGCACACCTGCCCAGATGCCAAGCATTCAAAGCCCTGCCCACGCGGCCTTCCTAAGTGCCTGACGCCCTACCAGCCTCGCCCTGCCCGGCAACCACAGGGAAACGTCTCTCATCCCCGCTCCACCGCGCCCAGGGGGCTGCGGTCAGGGCCGCAGGCGACGAGGCGGGGTGGGCCCGGCCGTCCGGCAGGCGGCGCTGCCCCGGGGCGCCCGGCTCCCCCCCGCGTGCCGCGCTCCGCCGGGCAGCAGGCTCGGGGCCCCAGGGCCCAGGGAGGAGCCAGGACCCCGGGCGGGAGGGAGAAGACTGAGGGGCGCGCGGCACAAAGAGCTTTTTATTTAAATTTGTTTAGAGTTTCGCGAATTTGCATGAAAAATGTGTGAGAAAAGCCAGCTCCGGTGACCTCATCCGCACCTGCCATTAACGTTCAATTAGCGGCTGAATAGCGGCCGCCGACGCGACGTGCAGAGAATCCGGCCGGCCCCGCGCGGCTCCGGCTGCGGGCCGGGCTCGGGGTGGGGTGGGGTGGGGTGGGGTGGGGATGGAGGGCGGGGGCGCAGGGCCCGCGCCTACTCCTGCGGGCGGGAGACCCAGGGCCTGGTTCGCACCCCGACTCTCCGAGGGGGAGGGCAGGAACCCCAGTACCCTCGAGCCCAAGGCCGCTTGGGGGCGCACCGGGCCCTGAGGGCACCTGGGGAGGCAGGGGCTCCCTCCCGGCGCCGAAGAGGCCGGGTTCGCTCCCTCCCCAGGAGGAGAGGTGGACGGACGAGCCCCCCGTCCTAGCTCAGATGGGTTCCTTCGCCACCTTCCGGACAAAGTGTCAAGTACAAGTTCAAGTTCAGGGCCAGCCCCGGGGATGGGGGTGGGAGTGGGGGGGGGGGGGGGCGCCAAGCCTTCCCCGGCCGCCTTTGTCCTTCCAGAGAGAATCGCTCCCAAGTCCCCTCCGGGCGGGGCCCGGCAGACGCCCCCGCCCCGCCCCGCCCTGCCGAGCCCGCCGGAGCCGCCTCCTCCCGCCCGCGCGGCGCCTGTCCCCTGGTCCCGGCGCCCCAGCTCGGGGCCACCGAAGGGTCTGGGGGCTCGGGGCGGGGTGGGGGGGGGTGGGGAGGCGCAATCCGAGTCCGTGGGAGCCTCCCCAGCCCCGCAGTCCCAGCAGCAGACCGAGCTCGGTCGGACGGATGCTCACGCTTAGGTAAGAAGCCCTGGCGGGGTTCGCCCGCACCCCTTCTGCCCCGCCCCCCAGCCCCGCACTCTGGGACCCAGAGGAACAGGGCGGAGGGCAGTGTGTTGCCACGAGAATGGGAGGCTGGGAGGGAGCCCCGCCGGGTCTGGGGGCGGGGGCGCTGCCTCTCCAGGGCTCTGAGGGGTCCCAGGCCTGGGGCGGGGGGCACAGAGGGCAAGGGTGCCCCTTGTCTATCCGGTGAAGTCGCCGGCCTTTCCCAGGGGCGTCCAGTTCATCCATCTCTGGTCGGCTTAGCCTCCTTGGTCTCCGCTTCTGCGCGCTAGTTCTGGATCTTGCTCTTCCTCGCCTTCTCAGATTCTGCAGGAGGGGCCCACAGTTTAGAATCTAGTTTCCCAGGCCCTGAGGCCGCTTCTGGAGAGCTGGAGGGGCGTGAGTGTGGCTCGGTTCTAGGGAGAATCAGCTATGGACATTCCCTCCCCCCACATCTCCAGCACCTAAATTAAGGTCCTGGGCCAAATGGTGGTGGGTGTGGTGGGAGTGGGCTGTGATTTAGTGGCGGTGCAGGGGCCCGTAAGATATCCTCCCTTTTTGTGGCTTAGGACTTCTGGTTGTTCCTACTGTGGCTGGTTCCTGGATTCTGTGCAGGGACAGATGTTAGCTGGTACCTCACCCACCAGCACACTGTGAAGCTGAAAGGGCACAGGAGGCCTCTTCTGAGGGGCCCAGACCTTGCCATCCTCCCATTCCTGCCTTTCATTGTCAGATATTCATTCTGAGGTTGTTTATGTACTGATGTTTTACACACAAGCCTAACATCCATGTTATCTGGTTTCTAAATTCACAGCCAGTTAGAAGCAGCAAGATAAAAAGGGGGAGGTGGGCTTTTCCCTCAATTCACACTGTTCCCCTTCTGCATTCCTTCCCTGCTTCTCTGTGTAGTTCCCAGATTTCTTACTGCTGGAATTCTAGTCATGATGAAGTTTCTCCTTCTAAGAATACACTCCTTCCCATTTTCACTTGGCCGAACTTTAGCAAGTGTCTCCTCCTCCAGGAGATCTGCCTAGATTTCCTCCACATCTCTGCTTCTCTTAACATCTTCAGCTGCACTGCCAAGGGCTTGGTACAGGATAAATGAAATGGTTTTTGGATGGATTCATAAAAAAAAAAAATCAAGTACATATAAATTTAGGAACCACTGAGGATTGAGGGTTTTTGCTGTTGTTGTTTTAAATAAACACTGGTTCAAACTGAGAGATCTCCCAGGGACTGCTTCTCTCTGTTCTATTACATACAAGGTCTCATTCATAAACAAGAATTAACAGGAAAACGCTGGGTCCATGTACTCTGTTAAAAAGAAAGGGAAAAAAACCTGTGCCAATTGCTTTAAGATTTTAAAAAGAAGAATTGCCAGAAGGGAGGACTTCAGCCTCTGTGAGTCTTTCCCTCTCCATCGAACCCAGTCCTCTGAGGGCTTGGAGGGGCTGAGGTTTCCTGAGCTGCATCAGATCTTGGGCCCTCCTGCAAGGCTTCAGCCAGGCCACCAGGAAGTTGACTAAAAATGGAGCCTGTGACCTACCTAGTGCATGTCTTTTTGCTCCCGATGATTCATCACTGACAAGCTGATGTCAGAGGAGCCTGGGAAGATGTTTACATCTTTTTTAAAAAAGGAAAGGAAACATTTTTTACTTCAAAACCTTCTTCAAAGTCTGCTCTAGACCCTTCCTCTTCCTCGTGAGAACTTCTGGTCTGAGTCTAATCTGATTCTCTTCGGGTTATTGTGACATCTTGGATAAACTGCTTTTTTTTTGGTCCCAATAGCCAAGATGCCCAATTCATGGAGGGGTAGAATGAGGAACTTTAAGGCAGCAGTTCTCAGAGGGCAGTGTAAACACTACTCTGATATAGGCTGAGAAAATAATTTATAATTTATATATATGAACTCAGCCCTTCCAACTAAAGGAGACAGGGTCTTGTTATTACCCGCCTTTTACAGAAGAGAAAACTGGGATGTGAAGGGGTTAAGTAAACTGTCTTCAGTGTCACAGCAGAAACCGGTTCAGGTGGGCTTTGAATTTGGGCAGGCTGTTTTATTTTATTTCTTTGAAATAATTTTGTTGGAGTATAGTTGACTTACAATTTTCTGTTAGTTTCAAATTCACTGTGTTTGATTACCAATATTTGAGCTTTGTGTCTGAGCTAGTCACTGCAAATGCCTCCCAAATCACCTTTCACATGGACGCTCTTGCTTTCCTTATCAGAGAAAGAAGGTAGAGGGTGAGGGTGAACAGCTCAACCTTTGGAATCTTGTGTTACCCTGGCTCTCTCCCTTACAAACTATATGACTTTTGCCAGTTCTCCATTACCTCATCTGTAAAATGGGCTTGTAAATCAATCTCAGGGGCTTGTTGTAAGGATAAAATAAGATGTTGTGTTTGGTCCAGTGCCTGAGACACAGTGAATGTCTCCAAGAGGGAAAGCTATTATTGTTTTAACAGCAGTCTTCTTTAATGATGATGATGTTACTGTCACCTTACATTATCAAAAAGCAACATTCCCTCCCCCTCAGAAAATAAAACACTGACACTAGTTGGTCTCCACATGCTTCAACCAGGCATCTGAGGAGGTGTCTGGATTCTGGTAGGACAGCTGCTCCATTCTGTGCAAGATAACTCAGACCCCCAGGAGGGCACACAGATCCCCAATGTCTTTGAAGGTGATGAATTAAACACAGACCCTTAAAATCTTGTCCCTCCTGGAGTCTAACTCCTTACAGGGATGTTTGTATGTGGAGGGGGATGTTCGAAGAAGGACTTTGTAAATAATCAAGAGAATTAGAGGCTGAACCAGAAGATGACTAAGGAGAGAAATCTGAGATGAAGAGTTCTCTTTTTTTTCTTTCTTATTTTAATATCTGGCCATTGCCTCTTGATGAGGAAAATAAATGAACACTAGACCCTGCTACAGAAACTGATCTGATCAGTGGGGACACTTCTTCCTTTCACTGACTTAATAGTTATTTAGTGAGGGCTTGTTCTGTGGGCAGGCATCACTTTTAGGCACTGGAGCTATAACAGCAAACAAAACAGAATAACCCCTGCCCTTGGGGAGCTGACAGTTGTGTATGTGTGTATTTAGAGAGGGATTTCCCGGTGGCTCAGGGCTGCCCTGGTAGCTCAGCTGGTAAAGAACCTGCCTGCTAATGCAGGGATTGCAAGAGATTCAGATTAGATCCCTCGGTCTGGAAGATCCCCTGAAGAGGGAAATGGCAACCCGCTCCAGTATTCTTGCCTGGAAAATTCCAAGGACAGAGGAGCCTGACAGGCTACAGTCCATGGGGTCACAAAGAGTCGGACATGACCGAGTACACATACATCTATTCCTGGTGGCTCAGACAGTAAAGAATCTGCCTGCAATGTGGGAGACCCAGGTTCGATCCCTGGGTTGGGAAGATCCCCTGGAGAAGGGAATGGCTACCCACCCAGTATTCTTGGGGCTTCCCTGTTGTGTTGAAAGGGGGAGAAAATGTCAATTGTTTTGTGCAGTACACTCCTACTCACCTCTGAACAGGATCCCTCATAGTGGGGATAGATCAACTGGGCCTCCCTTACTTGCTCACCCTTCAGAGCCAAGGGCATGTGTTTTCACACAGCTGTTTCTGCCTATGGGTGGAATTGAGGAGAGAGAAGGGGAGAGAGAGATGACTCAACTTCCTTCCATATCAGAAAATAAGTAAAGGATTGAGGCAGAGATTCCTCGGGCAATGTACTCATCAAGTGGGCAATGTACTTATCAAGTGGGCAATGTACTCATCAAGTGGGCAATGTACTCATCAAATGGGCAATGTACTCATCAAGTGGGCAATACACAGGAGTCCTGCCCTCCTGCATCCCACTCCCATACTCCCTGGACCCAAGCAGAGCTGTGATTCCGTCAGTGGTGCTGCAACAGAAACGGTGACCATCAGTGGAGGAAACCAAGAGGGATGGGAAGGGGTGAGACTGCATCCCGGGTCTGGGAAGATCATTTTAACAGTTTGCCCATGCCAGCATGCTTCTAGGTGCATTACATATATATATGAAGATTAGCTCAGTTACCCTTAATTATTATCAATCTCTGTTTCAGAGATGAGGCAACTGAGGCCCGGAGAATAAAGTGGCCCAAGGCCACAAAGCTAGTAAATGGCAGATCTGGGTCAGATTTGAACCTAGGCAGCTTGGCTCCACTAACTCCACTATCATGCTGTTTATCAAAGGACCAGGTTTCAGAAAGAAATGTTCACTCCCTTGGGAGGACACCAAGCATCCTCAGAAGTCTCCAGGAGTTCCCAGTGTGGCCCTCTCTCACACTTATTGGAGCCTCAGATTAGAGATGTTAAGGGTCTTCTTTGAAAACCCTCCTCCCTTGGCAGATAAGGAAACTGAAGATGGGGAGGGTCTTTCCCCAAGGTCACTGTCAAAGCAGACATCAGACCTGTAGTCTCTTGTACATCTCAGCCCACTTACTGCCTCGCACGTCCTGCATGTCAAGGTGTTGGGCTGAAGGGCTGCCTCCTTTACTGCAGACTCTTCATGGTCAGAGAAACCTCATCTCTTTCATCATAAGCCCAGAGGGAAGATGTGAGATGTTCAGGAAGGAGTGGGCTTCCTCGGGTTCCCCCACAACAGGCTCCATCTTGAGTGCTACCTTGTCCGACTCCATCCATCGTGAGCCTTGGTGCTGTGAGGAGGAAGCTGGTGTGTGAGGTAGACCCCAGGAAGAGCCAACACACACCGAGGCCAGCAGGTCAAGGAGTCCGAATTCTACTCTGAAGCCTCCTGGTCAAAACTTGGCATTCAGCAGTGTGCACTCTACATCAGTCACTGGGAGGGTGATGGGCAGGATGCTAGGTTACTGAGATATTCCCAGCTTTTCCAGGAGCTATCATCAACTGATCAATGTATGAGTTATTTGTGATGAAATGTAGCTGGAGTAACAAAACCCATAGGAGACTCCTGCCCTAACTTATTCCAAAACTTGATAAAGCTCTTCCTGGTGAAAGGGTTCTGGCACTGGCGGGTCTAAGGTCGGACTTAGGGGGGCACCCTATTGAGGGACTCTGCCCAGGGTTCCAGCTTAGCAGGCCTCATGGCCTAACTCAATAGACCGCATAGTGGGGCTTTGCTAGAGCGAGATGTCCCACGTCCACATGAGCACAAACTGCATTTGCCCAAAAGGCTTCCTTAGAAAAACAAACTTTCAGCTGGGGGAAGCCAACCTGAGGAGGGCCAAAGATTATATCCGGGCTTATCTACTTCTCCAGGAAGTCTATTCATTCTATTTTTCTGATGTGTTCTAAATCTGTAATGCTAAGAAAGTCAATCGTGGGCGTTAGCATTGCTGGCCCTCCTCCTGGTCACACCTGCATCTTTTGGGTGCGCGTTAAAGGTCTTGGGAATAGAAATATAAAAACTGCCTTGTGATGCGTCATCTGTAGTCTCCACCACCGCCCGCACTCGTTCCAATCTTTCACTCTTGCCTAAATTTGGGGCCCCACGCCGGGGCCAGCAGCGTTTTACGATAACAACAGAGGAGGCCGAGTAGCGCTGCATCTGTCCCAGGTTTGCCTCCAGGGCCCTGCGGTCTCCACTCCATGCCTTTCGGGTGTAGGAAGTGGCACGGCTCTGTCCCGAGCTCCTTAACTGCCCCGTACCCTTTACTCCAGGCTGCCGGGCAAAGAGGCTACTTGCATGACCTTGGAATCATTGCGACACTCCAAGGAAGGGGCCGCATTTAAACATTTCAGGCTCTCTGAGGCTAGCGGCCCGCAATCCCCTTAGAGCAGGGGACGCAGGCTGTAACCCTGGAGAACACTGTGCCCTGGAATCCAAACTCAGGTCCTAGCAGGAGACACAAGGGGAAGCTTTGCTTCTCTGTTGTTGTTCAGTCGCTAAGTCATGTCTGATTCTTTACGACCACATGGACTGCAGCACACCAGGCTTCCCTATCCTTCACCATCTCCTGGAGTTTGCTCAAACTCATGTCCAAACTCAGTGATGCTATCCAACCATCTTTATCCATTCCTTCTCTAGTGATCCCTTTAACCTAACCGCAGCTCTGGATTGCACTGGGCTGCAGACAGGCTGATGGTCGAGCGATCTGGTCCGTGGGTGCTGGACTGGCCTCCACCTGCCTCCCTGCCTCACCTCTGGGTTACCACTTTTGGTGTGTGTTCACATCCCAGATGGCAGATTTTCTGGGGAATTGAGATTCTTATATCTGCAATTTATTCTAAGCCCAAGGTTCCAAGAAAAATCTATAATGAACATTAATGTCTACAATCGCCTGGTCAATCTGCATCGAGTGGCAGAGCTGCCTGGTTCTTGTTCGAGGTAGAAAATGAAAAAAAACTGCCTTGTGATGGGTCAGGTCAGGTTCCTGCCTGTTATTTACAGTCAAGAGAATTTTTCTCCCCACCAGGAATCCAACTTGCTTGAAATAGATTTCTCTTCTCTGATTCTCCAGACTGGAGAGAAATCTGTTTTCAAAACAGTTATTATTTAAAAAAAAAAAACAAAAAAACAGGCAACCAGACAGTCTGAGGATATCAGGCGAACAGGTCAACAGTGTCCCCTCCACTGTCTGAGTGCCCCAGACCCCTGGACATGGCCAATAGGAAGCACCCTAGCTGCCTGGGGTGGGGGCAGGGCCCCAGGGGGTGAGAGACACAGGTTGCTCTATGGGACTCCAAGGGAGATACTTGGCCGCTCACGTCCAAGCAGGCTGGGGACCCGGCTCTCAGTCCCCCAAGGCCCGCGCACCAGCTGCGCTCTCCTCGCGCGCCGAGACGCCGATCGTGGGCAAAAACTGGCGGTTCTTAGGAACCGCCACTGGAATCCAGAGCTACTCCGAGGGCGAGATCGGATCTGTCCCACGACCTTGGCGCCAGGAAGCTGTGGAAAGAGACAGACCCCAATTTTCTCCCCTTGGAGTTGAAACAAAACCTGAAAGCCCGAGGTTACCCGCACGGCCAGAGGTGGCGCCTCGGCGGCGGGGGCGGCTCGAGCCGCGTGCCCGGGCTGTTCCCAGGCCCGGGTTCTGTGGCTTTCCTAGTTGTTGAGTTACTTAGCTGGTTAGCTAATAGCCAGCTTACAGGCAGCGTTTAAACAAATGCCCAGTCTGGTCTCACGCTGAGTCCCTGCGTCCGCCAGACCGAGAGCTGCCCGGCTGGGCTACGGGAGGAGGGACGAAGGGGAATTCTTGGTAATTAGAGGGGAGGTTTTCCCGGGACGCCCCTTGGTGAAGTGGCCTTGGCTTCGGACGGGGAACAAAGGGCTAAGGTGCCTGCGCGCCGCGCGCCCTCGGGGCCCGGCGCGGCCCTCATTCACGCCCCTCCCCACGCCTCTGCGGCCGCGGGCTTTGTGCGCTCGGGGGGCGAGCAGCGCTGCACCTGCCCGGCTTTAAGTACCTTGGCGAGGCGGCGCAGGCCGCTGTTCTAATCGCCATCTCCAAAGTACCTGCTCATGAATAAACACCAGCCCCATTTATCAGGTACTTAGCGCTCATTGTGAAGGGGAAATTGGCCCTTTTCTGAAAGTGTCTATCTTCAACCCATCTGCACAGTCGTGGCTGCAGAACTTCCCCCACCCTTTAGAGACACACACACACACACACACACACACACACACACACACACACACACACACACTCGCAACACGAGACTCCTCCAGGCTAAGATAAACTCGCTTTTCTTCCGGTAAGTGCGTGATTGAGCTGCAACAATAGATGGAGAGGAGGAGGCCGCTAGGTCAATAACCCACCTCTCTCCCATTGACAGGAGTCAGCCCGCAGAATGCCCGGTCTTTGGAAAGGCTAGTCCTGTGTTCTGGCTACGGGGTCTTGTGGACACCCTTGCACAAAACCCACAAGTCCCCAAACGTGGGGCCATATATTGGAAACGCTGGCCCGAGGTGTCCATGGTGCCTGTCAACCTTGGCTGGGGGCCCCGCACGTCTTATCTTCTGCTCCCCTCTCTCCAGGAGTGCCCCATACCTGTGTCTGACTGTTAAGGCGTGAGCACGCAGGACACAGGGTGTAAGGATCTGCACGGTACAGGGAAAGGGGGCCTTTTCTGGCCCGGCTGGGCCGAATGGTAGCTTCTGGCAGAAGCGGCTGAGGCTTCTGCCTACGCAAAGGAAGAAAACGGGAGGCTGGCTAGGCCCGTACAACCATGGCAGCTCCTCGGAGGGTATAGAAGCAGCGTAAACAGGCAAAAAAAAAAAAAAAAAAAAAAGATGCCTTCAAAGCCACACCAGTGAGTTTATAAAGGCGTTTCGTCCTGGGGTCTTGCTTGTTAGCCTCTCGTCTATTCCTTCCAACATTTGTACACGGGCACGCATTCCCAGGGCTCTGTTTCCTGGGTGGAATTCACCAGGAAATACAATCGATTTTCTGGACCTGTGTGCGGCCACAGACGGCTTTGAAAATGAAAGTGTTTGCTAAGGGTGGAGATTTCACCAATCGAACATTTTAAAATGGCTTTGTCTTCATTTCGCTCCCTGGAATTTATTGTTTTACAAATAGAAGCCCAGAGCCACTGCCGAGAGCCCCCCTCAGCCGCCCAGTCCTTGCTTGGCTTCTGGCGGTGGTCCCCCAGGGTTCAGGAACCCGGGATATTTAGAAAAATCGCAGCTTATTGGGGTTTCGTAGCCCGTTCCCTTTATACTGAACGCAGGCAGCCACTGCAAATCCAGGTTCCAGTCTCTTGCCAACGACTGTGTAGAACCCTTGGGGTCTTGCTATGCTGCTGACGGGTGTGACCGGCTCGACTCGGGGGAGACCTGCGGTGGGGACTGGGTTCTCCTCCAAAGACGGCGAAGAACGCGGGGTCTGAGCAAGAGAACCAGGGGCTGCGGCGGAAGGAGCTGCGGTAACTCTGGCTTGAGCTTCTCCCCAGAAACGCCAGTGACCCCGAGTCCCTAGCCCCTGCCGGTGCCCACGGCAGGCCCACGGAGATCCTACCCGAGCTCTGGCGGCGCCATCCCGCCGAAGAACGCAAGCTCGGTCTCGCTGTAATTCACCCAAATACAGCCGCTCATTTTTGGAATCTTCTAGAAAAACAAAAACAAAAAAACCAAGATCCCGTATCTCTTTGTGATAAGAGGGAGGTAACTGATGGGGTGAGCCTTTGGCGTGAGGGCAGACAAGGGAACGATGAGGGCGACTTCGGGAGAAACGCTCTAAACTAGGGACGACTCGAAAGTCCCTTGTCTCCAGTTCCTGGCTATACCTTGGCCTCGGGTGGCTCCTGTGTTGGGAGAACCCAGGCACTTCTGCGCCGCGGCTTTTGGGCCGCCTCCAGCCCACTGCGGCTCCTTTTGTGGCCGCGGGGTCTGGCGGGAGCCTTCTTCGCCCTGTGAACTGGGGCACCAGGCCGCGGGGGCGCCTCCGGGAGGGCCGGGTGAAAGGGGTTCCCTCTCGCCCCACAGGGCATCCAAAAACACCTCCGCCGGCGAGAGGCTACCCCACCTCACGGTCTAAAGGTTGAGTGTCGCCTCTAAGTTTTATGTGGAGAAAATTCTGGAATTCGAATTCGTTGTTCCCATAGATTTGCGTTGAATAAACTGTGGAATCGCTGTGTGCGCTTCCACAGGAACCTATGGATTTCCGGGCGGCTGACTGTGCCTGGAGAGTGAGGGGCTGAGGGATAGGGGAGCGGGAGGAGCGCGTCCCCAAATACTGGGAGTGATCACCGAGGCGCGGCTGAAGCCTGATTTGGGGGCGATAAGGGCTCAATCCTCTCCAGGCGGCGCCCCCGTTTTCAGCCTTCTCAGCCACGCCCTTGGTTCCCATACCTGCTGTCCCTCGGGGCTCCGATCCAGCCTCCCCAGGAGACCTGGGAGGAGCGGAGCTGAACCGGATCAGGGCCCCGCGGGTCCCGAGCTGTTTCCCTTACCCAAAGGTGCAGCCAGGCCCGAGGCCTGGACAGTCGTTTGGGAAAAGTTACAATCCCCAGGCGAGGCCCTCCGCTGGAGACTTTGGCCGCAGCGAAGGTCATGAGCCAGGTCCGCTCCACGCAGCGTGGTTTGTCCTCAAACAGCCTCTCCAATTCCTCCCCGCATTTCATTTGGGCTCTTCTGGACGAGTGGCCCCCGGGGAGTTTCTCTGTCCCCAAGATACGAGTGCACGGGGCTTCCAGTCCGGGAAGTTCGGCCTAGATAAACCTTCAAAACAGAACTCTGCAGAACCAGACTTGAGGAGGGAGCAGTGCAAATGCTCCCGCGGGAAGGGAGTGCAGAGGTCACGCGAAACCTGTTATTTGACCTCAAAACTAAGCTTAGTAGACCCTTGCGTGTTAATTCTACCTTGGAGGTACTGGTGGCCCCTGAAAATTTGACGCTGCAGTTACCATGGACCTCTTAGAGGGGATGGGGAGGGATCTGCCATCCCTATTCCATCTGGTTTTCTGAAACCTCGGTTCAGTGAATCAATCCCGCCTGTATCTTAAACCCAAGCCTCTTTGGTTCCCCAGTGATGCCCGCCCACCGCGGCGCACGTCTTGGTGCCCAAGCCCGGAGGATCTCACTTGCACTTTCTGTCCCCACTGCTTTCGGGGTGGGGGTCGTGCCCCTACTGTCAGCAACTAGCCTTGGCGCCGCCGTCCAGGGAGGAGGGGCGACAGCGACCATGGCTGACCCCCGAGGGTAGGGGGGCGAGGGAAGTCTTCTGTGGCTTCGAGGTCCCCGCCTTCTCTGCATCGGGTGGCTGGAAGGAAGTTTCTTTCCTTTCTGGGGCTTCTTCCTGGCTTCTTCGGCTGCCCAGAGCCATCCTCCGCCCACGGCTCAGATGGAAACTCTGAGGCGGGTTGGTTCAGGTTCGCCAGCAGCTGGCGGCGGGCCCCTGGCCCCTGACAGTAAGCCCCCTCCGCTCAGTCATTCCCGGGGGCTCACTGCGCGGCGCTGGAAGAAGTGTGTGTGTGTGTGTGTGTGTGTGTCTGTGTGTCTGTGTGAGACCCCATGGGCTGTAGCCCTCCAGGCTCCTCCGTCTATGGAATTCTCTAGGCAAGAATATAGGGATGTTCTTAGAGATCGCGAGAGGAAAGGGGCGGCGAGGCCTTGCGGTTCCCACGCTCCCTCTGCGGAGTTTACTTTCGCAATCTCCGTTCCAGTCTGGCCAGCGCTTCCCCAGCTTTTCTTAGCAGAGCGCAGTACCGGGGCCAGTGGATTTCGCCGCGCGGACTCTTCGGGTCAGGCCCGAGGGTCAAGTGTATTCGTCCGGCCTCCTCCGGGCGCGCCTGTTCCAGATCCGCCGACAGAGGGCGTCCCGGGCAGAGGAAGCGCGGGGTTGGATGTCTCTCCTGGGTTCCGCGCGCCACACTGTGGGGCTCTGTGGCGTCCTAAACCCGCCAAGTCGCGCGGATGGAGCCACAGATAGGCGAGGCTGAAGGTGGGTGGGGTGAGCGTAGCGGCAGCGCCACCTGCAGCGGGACGTGCGCGGATGCAGGCCGCTGGACTCCCAGGCCCGCCCTGTAGTCTGTAACCCTGCGAAGAGGGGAAAATCGTGACCGTGTCCACTGTGGAGAGCACACCTGAGTGCAGAGACAGGGAAGGCGAGGGAGGAGTAACCCCTAACCCTTGACTCCTCCTAGCCAAGGGGTGGTTTTTCACAGTCACCCCTTTCCACTTATACATGCCATGCACAGACACAAATACCCCTTTGCTCCTCCAAAGACACCCCTTCTCACACACTTCCGTAGATACAAATACAACACCACACAATCTGCAGACACATGTACCCCTAGCTGGAATTTTCTAGAATATTTAGTCCAAGCTCCTCCTTTTAATAGTAGGGAACTGAGGCCCCAGGTAGGAAAGAGACCATCCGAGGGCCTGAAGCAGTCAGGTGACACCAGTGGCATAGTCCCTTGGCTGTGTTCTAAGCCTCAGTTTCCTCTGCTGTAAGCACTGAAATTGTACTAAGTCTGTGGTTTGAGGGGACGTGTCTAGAGGGATATGTCTGTGTCTGGGAAGCGGCCTGTTTGTCCATGACACACACGGAGACATACATGAAGGAGGAGTGTGTGTCCATGCAATGGGTGCCTGTGAAAATATGGCAGGGCCTGTGTGTGTTCACCCAGGAAGGGGTACCTGTGTCTGTTGACTGTGTGGAATTGCATTTGTGTCTGCAGAAGTGTGTGTGAAGGGGTGTGTTTGGAGGAGTGGAGGGGTATTTGTGTTTGTGCATAGCATGAATAGGTGGAAAGGGGTGACTGTGAATATTGGCACCCTCGAAAGGAGGGAGGGTGAGTATGTGTGCACACTCACGTACATGCACACTGCCCACTACCCCCCCCACTCCCCCCCCCCGCCCCCCCCCCCACCCCCCGCCCCCGCCAATGCTTTGGAATCTGCTGTGAGGCCTGAACCTGCCCTACAGGAAAAATGAGTGAGGGGTGAGAAGGCTGAGGGGCCCAGTCTCCAGGGTGTGGCCCTGCCCCAATGCCCAGCACGCTCTAAGGGGCTGCAATTAAGCAACGCTTCTCCTGGGCTTGGGAGGAGGAGGAGGAGGATTATGGCAAATTCATTTCTATTTTCCAGCCCACTAAGCCTGCAGTGCGTCCCTGGTGTTAGCATGAGAATGGGGCCGGGCTCTGTGAACCCCTCCCGACCTACTGACCCCTCCCCCCCAAGTGAATAGCCAGACCCGAAGCCTCTCCAACCAGCTCCTGCAAAGCCACGACTCCTAATCAGGGTAATTTAATATATTTTAAGCCCCCAGCGGCTTTATTTTCCCTCCTTTTCGAGTTTGTTTTAGGCATTCACAGCTCTCACCCCGTCATTAGACAGCCTTATTTGACGGATGGAAGGAGCTGCTATGAGACCACAGCCCTTTGTGTCCCCCACATAAGCTGGGCTTCCCTGTAATTAGAATGGTATTCCCAGCCATTGAAGCCTTTCATGAGACGGAACAAAAACCCGCCCGGAGATGAATATCCCCCAACTCTCAGCCTCCTGGCCGGGAAAGGGGCTGCGAGTTAAAGGGACTCCTTGGGGGAAGATGGTCTGGAAGGGAGGACAGCCTATGTCCTGCCAGGGTGAGTAATTTAGGGGCCATGGGGGGTGGGCATCACACAAAGCCTCTGTGAGGTTGCCTGTAAACAGCAGTCACCCATACTTACTCTCCTTACATGCTCAGCCAACCTGGGGACCTGCCTGGGCTCAGCCTCTGTAGTCAGAACATTCACATATGTCCATGAGGCTGGGGAATATGGAACATGCTGGGGTGTGCAGGAAAAACACATGGGCCTACAGAATCATCCAGAACCTGACTGAAGTATGGTCTTGCAGCTAAATACACAAACACCCCTAGTCATTCACATATAGTCTTGGGATTACATTATAAACACATATACACACATGAGTACATGCATACATACATGCTCAGCTACAAAATGACAATTGTCACAAAACCAGGTTAGAAAAGTTTGTAAATATATACACATACCACATGCACTGTCACCCAGATGTAGAACCAATTCGTCTTTGTCTTTGTCTTTACACATTCATACTATCCACCCAGATGGGTTTTTTGTGAACACACACACACAATTCTTATACACTCATGCTGCTTTTTAGTCGCTAAGTCGTATCAGACTCTTTGTGACCCCAGGGACTGTAGCCCACCAGTCTCCTCTGTCCATGGGATTTCCCAGGCAAGAATACTGGAGTGGGTTGCCATTCCCTTCTCCAAGGATCTTCCCAACCTAGGGATCGTACCCCTGTCTCTTTGACAGGCAGATTCTTTACTGCTAAGCCACCAGGGAAGCCCCTTATACACTCATACATACGTGCATATACATATACCCCTAGAGTTTTCTGGACCCCATTTCTTCTGTGGCTCTAGGGTATTAACCAGCTTGTGCACACTGTGGTGATGCCACACCTCTCTCCTTTCCCAGGATATAGCCTTGTTTCTGGTCATGTTCTTGGATCCTGCCTAGCCTAGATGGGAATCCAAGAATGAATCTCTGTGTTCAGATACAGAGACTGTCATGCACACACATGTGTGGACATATGCACATCCTTTAGCTCACACTGAAGTGAAAATACAGGAAAATACTCTGGATCTGAAATGCCATTATAGTGTCATTTTAGCATTGCCAGGCCAGCCTCTCCCAGACACTCATGACCAGACATTCAGAAGAGTTTCAAGAGTAAGCCCCAACAAACTACCCCCTGTGTGTGAATTCAACTTCTGCGTGGGCTGGATTCTCCTCTGGGGCTCAGATGGGTTTCCCCATGGAAAAAGAAATCTCCCTTTTCCAGTTTTCCCCTTCCAACTGGGCTCCAATACAATCTGTAGTTTTTCAAAGGTCTCAGGAAAGGCTCAGTGGGTGATACTAGGTCTAGGAAGCTACAAAAGGAAGAACCCAACCTACCAACTGACTCACAGGGGAAGCACTCCCATGGAGAAGTAGTGAGTGCCCCATTTCCAGGAGGATTCAAATAGCGACAAGATAATCAGCAGTCATCTGATCCCAAAGCAGGGATGCTTTGGGGGAATTTGTTTATTAATAGTTCAGCCCCACCTGTACTTCTGTGTCAGATCCTGTGCTCCGAGCTCAGAGTACAATGATGAGTAACATACAAATCTGTCTTCAAAAAAACTTAAGACATCTTGGACTTCCCTGGTGGTCCAGTGGTTAAGAATCTGCCTGCCAATACAGGGGACACCAGTTAGATCCCTGGTCCAGGGAGATCCCGCATGCTGAGGGGCAGCTAAGCCGGTGCACCACGGCTGCTGAGCCTGCACTCGAGAGCCCAGGAGCACAACTACTGAAGCCCATGAGTCCTAGAGCCTGTGCTCTGAAACAAGAGAAGTCACTGCAATGAGAAGCCCTTGCACTGAAACTGGAGAGTAGCCCCCACTCACCACAACTAGAGGAAGCCTGTGTGCATCGAAAAACAAGCAAACAAAAACACACCCAGCAGTGCCAAAAATAAAAATAAATACAAAACCTTAGAGTCTTAAAAGGGGCGTGCATGCGTGCATGCTCAGTTGGTCAATCTTGTCTGACCATGTAACCCATGGATTGTAGCCCACCAGGCTCTCTGTGTCCATGGACTT